AGGAATTTGATTTTTTCTGGTCCAAATGGCCATAGTTGAAAATTACAGAGGGCGCCTCTTAAAGTGAAGTGGGGTTATATCTCGGCCCAAAAGCTCGAAAGTGAGCGTTCAGAAAGTTTTTCTGTGTCAATTTCACTGCAAACAAAGACCATAAGGAGCTAGTTTAGTGTCTCCGGGACTAAAAAATATCCCCCAAGTTCCGGAAAATCGAGCCGAAGTTGGGCAAAATCACGACGCGCGTAAGGCGGTCTCGGCTACTCTTTCAGTCTGAAAATGAAGTAGGGCTATATCTCGGCCTAGAAGCTTGAAACCGAACGTGCGCTGCTTTTACCTGTGTCCATTTCACTGAAAACTAAGGCCATCAATAGTTACTTTAGAGTCCGCAGGACTGGAAAATATCCGCCAAGTTTCGGCAAATCGAGCCAAAGTTCCTCAAAATCACGATGCGCATAAGAGATTCTGGACTACTCTTTCAGTCCTAAAATGATGTGGGGCTATATTTCGGCCTAGAAGCTCGACACCGAGCGTGCGCTCCTTTTACCTGTGTCCATTCCACTGATAACTAAGACGATCAGGAGTTACTTTAGAGTCCCCGGGACTAAAAAATATATCCCAAGTTCCGGCAAATCGAGCCAAAGTTGCTAAAAATCACGATGCGCGTAACACGGTCTCGGCTACTCTTTCAGTACTAAAATAAAGTGGGGCTATATTTCGACCTAGAAGCTCGACACCGAGCGTGCTCTCGTTTTACCTGTGTCCATTTCACTTAAAACTAAGGCCATAAGGAGTTAGTTTAGAATTCCCGGGACTGGAAAATATCCCCCTAGTTCCGGCAAATCGAGCCAAAGTTGCTCAAAATCACGATGCGCGTAACGCAATCTCGGCTACTCTTTCAATCTTAAGATTAAGTGGGGCTATATTTCGTTCTAGAAGCTCGACACCGAGCGTGCTCTCTTTTACCTGTGTCCATTTCACTGAAAACTAAGCCATCAGGAGTTGGTTTAGAATCCCGGACACTGGAAAATATTCCCCGAGTTCCAGCAAGTCGAGCCAAAGTTGCTCAAAATCACGATGAGCGTAAGGGATTCTGGGCTACTCTTTCAGTCCTAAAAGGATGTGGGGCTATATTTCGGCCTAGAAGCTCGACACCGAGCGTGCGCTCCTTTTACCTGTGTCCATTCCACTGATAACTAAGACGATCAGGAGTTACTTTAGAGTCCCCGGGACTAAAAAATATATCCCAAGTTCCGGCAAATCGAGCCAAAGTGGCTCAAAATCGTGATGCGCGTAAGACATTCTGGGCTACTCTTTCAGTCCTAAAATGAAGTGGGGTTATATTTCAGCCTGGAAGCTCGACACAAAGCGTGCGCTCCTTTTAGCTGAGTCCATTTCACTGAAAACTAAGGCCATCAGGAGTTAGTTTAAAGTCCCCGGGACTGGAAAATACCCCCCAAGTTTCCGCAAATCAAGCCAAAGTGGCTTAAACTCACGATGCGCGTAACCTGGTCTCGTCTCCTCTTTCAGTCTTAAAATGAAGTACGGCTATATTTGGGCCTAGAAGCTCGACACCGAGCGTGCGCTTCTTTTACCTGCGTGCATTTCACTGAACACTAAAGCCATCAGGAATAAGTTTAGAGTCCCTGGGACTGGAAAACATCCCCCAAATTACGGAAATTCGAGCCAAAGATGCTTAAAATCACGATGCGCGTAAGGGAGTCTAGGCTACTCTTTTAGTCTTAAAATGAAGTGGGGCTATATTTCGGCCTAGAAGCTCCACACCCAGGGTGCGCTCCTTTTACCTGTATCCATTTCACTGAAAACTAAGGCCATCAGAAGATAGTTTAGAGTCCCTGGGACTGGAAAATATCTTCCAAGTCTCCGCAAATCGATTCAAAGTGGCTCAAAATCACGATGTGCGTGAGGCGGTCTCGGCTACTCTTTCAGTTCTAAAACAAAGTGGGGCTATATTTCGGCCTAAACGTCGACACCGAGCGTGCGCTCCTTTTACCTGTTTCAATTTCACTGAAAACTAAGGCCATCAGGAGTTAGTTTAGAGTCACCGGGACTGGAAAATATCCCCCTAGTTCCGGCTAATCGAGCCAAAGTTGCTCAAAATAACGATGCGCGTAACGCGGTCTCGGCTACTCTTTCAGTTCTATAATAAAGTGAGGCTATATTTCGGCCTAAAAGCTCGACACCGAGCGTGCGCTCCTTTTACCTGTTTCAAATTCACTGAAAACTACGGCCATCAGGAGTTAGTTTAGAGTCCCTGGGACTGGAAAATATCCCTCAAGTTCCGGCAAATCGAGCCGAAGTTGGTCAAAATCACGATGCGCGCAAGGCGGTCTCGGCTACTCTTTCAGTCTTAAAGTGAGGTTGGGCTACATTTCGGCCCAGACGCTCGAAAGTGAGTGTTCAAAAGGTTTTGCTGTGTCCATTTCACTGCAAACCAAGGCCATCAGGAGTTAGTTAGCCCAACTTCATTTTAAGACTGAAAGAGTAGCCGAGACCTCCTTACGCGCATCGTGATTTTTAGCAACTTTGGCTCGATTTGCTGGAACTTGGGGAATATTTTCAAGTCCCTGGGACTTTAAACGAACTCCTGATGGCCTTAGTTTTCAGTGAAATGGACTCAGGTAAAAGGAGCGCACGCTCGGTGTCGAGCTTCTAGGCCGAAATATAGCTCTACTTCAATTTAAGACTGAAAGAGTGGCCGAGATTGCCTTACGCGCATCGCGATTTTGAGTAATTTAGCTCGATTTCCCGGAACTTAGGTTATATTTTCCAGTCCCAAGGACTCTAAGCTAACTCCTGATAGCCTTAGTTTTAAGGAAAATGGACTCAGGTAAAACGAGCGCACGCTCGGTGTCGAGCTTCTAGGCCGAAATATAGCCCCGCTTAATTTGAAAGAGTAGCCGAAAGAGTAGTATTTGAAAGACTGAAAGAGTAGCCGAGACCGCCTTACGCGCATCGTAATTTTGAGCAACTTTTGCTCGATTTGCCAAAACTTGGAGGATATTTTCCAGTGCCAGGGACTATAAACTAACTTCTGATGGCCTTAGTTTTCAGTGAAATAGACACAGGTAAAAGGAATGCTCGTTCGGTGTCGAGTTTCTTGGCGGAAATATAGCCCCACTTCATTTTAAGACTGAAAGAATAGACGAAACCGCCTTACGCGTATCGTGATTTTAAACAACTATCGCTCGATTTGCCGAAACTTGGGGGATGTTTTCCAGTCCTGAGGACTCTAAACTATCTCCTGATGGCCTTAGTTTTCAGTGAAATGGACACAGGTGAAAGGAGCGCACGCTCGGTGTCGAGCTTCTAGGCGGAAATATAGCCCCTCTTCATTTTAAAACTAAAAGAGTAGACGAGACCGCCTGACGCGCATCGTGACTTTGAGCCACTATTGCTCGATTTGTCGGAACTTGGGGGATATTTTCCAGTCCCGAGGACTTTAAACTAACTCCTGATATCCTTTGTTTTCAGTGAAATGGACACAGGTAAAAGAAGTGCACGCTCGGTGTGCAGCTTCTACGCCGAAATATAGCCCCACTTTATTTTAAGACTCAAAGAGTAGCCGAGACCGCCTTACGCGCATGGTGATTTTGAGCCACTTTGCCTGCAATTGCCGGAACCTGGGGGATATTTTGCAGTCCCAGGGATTCTAAACTAACTAACTAACTAACTACTAACAGTGAAATGGACTCAGGTAGAGGGAGCGCACGCTCGGTGTCGAGCTTCTAGGCCGAAATATAGCTTTACTTCAATTTAAGACTGAAAGAGTGGCCGAGACCGACTTACGCGTATCGTGATTTTCAGTAATTTGGCTCGATTTCCCGGAGCTTAGGTTATATTTTCCAGTCCCAAGGACTCTAAACTAACTCCTGACGGCCTCAGTTTTCAGTGAAATGGACACAGGTAAAAGGACCGCACACTCGGTGTCTAGCCTCTAGGCCGAAATATAGCCCCACTTCATTTTAAGACTGAGAGAGTAGCCGACACCGCTTTACGGCCATCGTGATTTTGAGCACCTTTGGCTCGATTTGCCGAGACTTGGGGGATATTTTTCAGTCCCAGCGACTCTAAACTAACTCCTGATGAGCTAAGTTTTCAGTTAAAATGGACAAAGGTAAAAGGAGCGCTCGCTCGGTGTCGATCTTCTAGGCCGAAATATAGCCCCACTTCATTTTTAGACTGAAAGAGTAGCCAAGACCGCCTTGCGCGCAACGTGATTTTGAGCAATTTTGGCTCCATTTGCCGGACCTCTGGGATTTTAAGCAACTTTGGCTGGAGTTAACCGAACTTGGTTGATATTTTCCAGTCCCGGGGATTCTAAACTAACTTCTAATGGCATTAGTTTTTAGTGAAATGGATAGAGGTAAAAGAAACGTACGCTCGGTGTCGAACTTCTAGGCCGAGAGATAGCCCCACTTTATTTTAAGACTAAAAGAGTAGACGGAACCGACTTACGCGCATCGTCACTTTGAGCCACTATGGCTCAATTTGCCGAAACTTAGGGGATATTTTCCAGTCCCGGGGACTGTAAACTAACTCCTGATAGACTTAATTTTTAGTGAAAAGGACAGAGGTAAAACGAGCGCACGCTCGGTGTCGAGCTTCTAGGCCTAAATATAGCCCCACTTCATTTTAGGACTGAAAGAGTAGCCGAGACCGCCTTACGCGCATCGTGTTTTTGAGCAACTTTGGCTCGATTTGCAGGAACTTGGGGGTTATTTACGAGTCGCGGGGACTATAAACTAACTTCTGATGGCCTTAGTTTTCAGTGAAATGGACACAGGTAAAAGGAGCGCACGCTGGGTGTTAAGCTTCTAGGCCGAAATATAGCCCCACTTCATTTTAAGACTGAAAGAGTAGCCGAGACCGTCTTACGCGCATCGTAATTTTGAAAAACTTTGGCTCGATTTGCCGGAACTTGGGGAATATTTTGCAGTCCCGGGGACTCTAAACTAACTCCTGATGGCCTTGGTTTGCAGTAAAATGGACACAGCAAAACTTTTTGAACGCTCACTTTCGAGCTTCCCGGCCGAAATATAACCAAGGCCGTCAGGAGTTAGTTTAGAGTATCCGGGAGTGGAAAATATCCCCCAAGTTCCGGGAAATCGAGCCAAAGTCTGTCGAAATCACGATGCGCTTAAGGTGGTCTCGGCTACTTTTTCAGTGTTAAAATAAAGTGGGGCTATATTTTGGCCTAGAATCTCAAAACCGAGCGTACGATCGTTTTACCTCTGTCCATTTCTCTGCAAAGCAAGGTCGTCAGAAGTTAGTTTAGAGTCCCCGGCACTGGAAAATATCCCCAAAGTTCCAGGAAATCGAGCCA